GGCTCGGTCGAGAGTCGTTCGGCCTCCGGTTAACGAACTAAATTTCCGCGAGACATTGCCTCTAATACCTTTAAGAAACGTTTGCGGCCCTCGCTGTACCACTCCCTTATTCACACCAACTATTTTTGCAAATTATTTGTGAACGTGACCCAAAGTCTGGTCGATCATCGCCACATACGCGGCATTCGAGTCTCACCTTCTTTTCCTTTATCCTTATGTACGGGCACGTCGGAAACGAATCGCGTTCGACGATCTCTGCGTCGAAAGGCACCTGTTGCCACTAGCCAGACGGCTAATTCCTCAACGCGAAATCATCCGCTCAGCGACCTCTCCACTCGATAATTTCTTGAAAACTGACCAAATCGAGCCCTTAGTTTTGAATAAATTGTTTCTACGTAGACGTTGTTGCCAGCCGAAGAATAATCACCGATTAGAAGGAAATTGAAGTTGCGAAGCAATGATATATCAATGACGGGTATCAATTTGGTTCTGCTATATAGCGCGCGCTAGTTATACCTCCCATGGGATAAGGATTTACATTTCAATAGACAAGAAAAAAGCAACTTGGAAGCCCGGCAAGCTTCTTGTCTGGCTTTCTGGTCATTAAGAAAATGGATTCGTTCTTCTTCGAAATGGAGAAGCAACGTAGACGTCGTAAGATGATTTTCTAAGAAAAATAGTAGACGATGTACATCGGCTGCAAAGACGACACAGTCAATCAGCGAAATTAAAGGAAAACGTTGGCCTAATTGAAAAAGTTTTCTACGTGGATGGAAGATGAACTAGGCTCCAGGGGTTCGCCAAACAGTTCAGCAAACAGGAAGTAAATGTTTAAACTGGGACGTAAAGCTCGGAAGGAATTACATTTAAATTAGATTACCGGTCCCGTAAATATTGGAATTCTACTCTAGCCGCCGCGCCGCTCGGGTGGAATCGTATTAAAAAATATGAATAAATATCACTCTATTCCTCGAATATTATACCATCCTATTGTCCCGCCAATGGAAACGCCCTTTGCTTCCGGTTAATTTCGTTGATACGTATTATTCACGCTGACCCACGGTAGCAGCAAAGTAGAACGCACGCGCATCTGGAATTTAATTAGCTTAATTAAATCCGGATTCTTGCTGAATCTTGCGCATTTCCACGAAATGCACACTGCACACCCATCCACACGTGCGCACACAACACGCACGGATCTAGGCACACGCGCACAGAGCAGATCGCCCGACCTGAAATCGCGATGAAAGAATATGTTTGAACTGTGACTTAACTTGTAAAATATGCAGCCCGATTTTGTAGTCCGGGAACGAAAACACGAGCAGACCTCAAACGCATTCGGATGCCAGCTTTTTAAACGCAGTCCCATTCGAAAGGCGGAAAATACAGGAACTTTTAAAAAAAAATGCTCCCAGCCGCGAGGGATAGATACTGAAACTCAAAAACGCGCATCACGGTGCGCTTCCCATGTTCATCGCATGGTAGCTCTTTCTCGTGAATTTTCACGAATTTCAGACGTTTCCTCTGTGGGAAACATCGATACTCCAAAATTTTACGGCGAAGGATAAAAAATGAAGTAGATTTCGAGAGCTCGCTAATGAAACCGGCTTACACGGAAATACCAAGCCGGGAGAAATAATTTTTAACATTTCCATATAATTTCATCAGATTCTTTTGAATATTCCTCCTGACTAAATGACAAAAATGCTTATTCTATCCACTTCCTAAAAATCTTTGTCGATTCTCTTAATATCTCAGCGACTAAAATTATATGTCGTCCATTTAGTAACTAGCACAACTGGATCAAAATTACGTGCAGCCTATTTACGTTCACGAGCAACAGTCAAATCCTGTTCCATTTGACCTGCTCTCGTGTTCTAACCTGTGCGGGAGAGAATATCCTTCGAAGGAAGACTCGATGCAAGGAATGGGGCGGGACCCGTTCATGATTCAATCAACGAAGTTAAAGCGAGCGCGAAATGACGCGACACAAACTCGGGGCTTACCCCCGAGTTTTCATCCCCTTGAACGCATTACGGCAACGCACCATCCTTTCTTCGAATTCCATTCATACGAGCATCGTGCTCGCGTTTCGACGCTTCAACCCGAGGCCAGAGTGTTTTAACGTATTTCGTGTACCATAGATGGTACACCGAACTTCCCAGTGCTGGATGTTGTAATAAAAAGCACAAAAATATAAGTAAACAAGTCTGAAATATTAACAATTATAAATGTAACAAGATAACAAATAGAAAGTCACACACACACACACAAGCTGCAATCAATGCATCCAAGATAGATCGTTCAAAGTCTACAAGACAGAGGAACCATTGAACTTCCCCGTGAAACATCGTAGTACGCAACGACCGTATTTCGATGATAAAATAACTTGAAAAAGTATTTTCTATAACAACATGTCTCGCAGGAAAACGATCCCGCTTTCCCGTTGTGTTTCGAACGGTTAATGGGCTTTTTAAGTTCGCGAACAACGCCGATGGTGCCGATCGACACGGTGCCAACGATATTTCTCGGTTACTTTGGCTATATTTTCACAAAAAATATCTCACTGGTGAGGATCGCTTAAAGACGCAATTTAATCGGGAACTTTACATTCCATTACGCCGCGCCGTAGAAAAAGTACCGTATCGCCGAAAGTACGTTTTCCTCTAGTCCGCGTGCGTTCGAGCCCCCTTCGACCCTCGGTCCACGTCTCGAATCGCTTTTTTAAAAGCTTCCTATCCGTCCAAAGAGACTGCTCCAAGAAAAGTTCCCCTTTGAAGCTGATCCGTCGAACTTTCATCGTAACGGCTCCGGTCTCGTCATCAATAAATATTATCGTCCGATCGACCACGCTACCGACAGCGAAACGACGAGTTTTCCTCTTCACTCTTTAAACACTGGAATTTTTGACCACTGAAAAATAACAACCGCGATCGGGCACAGCTATGCAAGGAACTTTATTTCCTCGCGCGAAACGAAGTTCCAATCCTCAACATACATTGACAATCGTTTCGTTTCGTTCGGTTCCCGAGTCGCTTTTCGACTATAAAAGCTTACGAAACGTGGGACAACGATGAGAAAAAAGAAGCTACACAACGCGAAAGCCGCGACGACTGGGAATACACGCGTATTTTCTATCTCCCGACCTGTCCTTTTTCAAACTCATCTCGACAAACTGTAGGTCACCCCGTAGGAATCCGTGTATACACTTTTCAGTGGAATAATGTTTCGCGACGCATTTTGCGGCTGTGCCCGCGCAAACTTTGTCAAGTAAATATTTGACACAATCTGGCGCAAGTACGAAACAATCCGTCCTCCCCGTTGAAACAGCGGATCCGGTTGCGGCTGAAAGCACCACAGAACTCTGTTCCGATGCATTAGTAGCTTCCAGAGATGGACAGAGAGAAAGCATTTGGCGATCTATTATAATATTCCTCGATAATCTGGCCAACAATCCATGTAACTACAGAATTCCATCCACGATATACTCGCTATCCGAATAATCTGTCTATCGTTTTGTCCTTCATAAAATCCTTCTTAAAACTTTATTTTCTAACAAAAGCAAACAAATGAAAAACAGTTCGTCATAAGCTGTTTTAAAGAGATACGTTTTTATCGAATATCCCGATAAGAGTTAGGAACCGGCACGATCACGACGTCGACTTATCCAGACGCTTATCTCGTAAAAGACGAGAGAGAACCTCTTCGCGTTTATCGTCTCGTTTGTATCTTCATGAGCCGATCCCACGTGTCTTATGCTGCTCGGGCACTCATGCGAAAATCCGCGACGTGGAAAGAGGCTGAAACCGGTGAAGGGAAAACTGAGACGCGGGCGAATAGAAGCGAACATCCATCCAGTCCCGTTTAATCCGCCGATGTTAGACGTGATCCATCTTTGTTGTCCTCGCTGACTCGTCCTCCTTCTTCTTTAAGCAAGCTCGTCTAACGTCGAGCTGTATATTCCGCGTAGTCGAGTACACCGTTGGTTCCCCGGGACTGTTGCCTCCATCCGTGAACGCGCAGCTTCAACCGTCCTCTTCGTCGCAGTAAAGCCTCGTCGTTCTCCTTGCGTTGTTCCCTTTGCCGTTGTTGCGAGAGCCAAAGCCAGTTGACGCAGTCAGTGACTCGGCCACCTGGGAAATACCCAGTAATGCCCGCAAAGCTGGTTTCCTTTCTCGCTCTCCTCCTTTCCTCTCTTCTTCTTTCCTCTCTTACTTCTTTCCCCGAATTCTTCCGGGTTTCTCCTTAAGGTTACCTTTTTTTAGTAACGCTGTCTGTCTTTAGTCACAGACTTCTATTTCTACTACCCTCGGTCCTTGTTTCAATAGCTACAGTTGTTCAAGTAAGAAGAGCACAGAGAGTCGAGCGTCTGCGAAAATTGCCACAGACTTCCGCCTCTCGAGCGATGTAATCAGAATTACGAACACGCGCTCTTGGACGCTGATGATTTAATTTATCGACCGACGCCAGCTCGAATAAAAGGACTCTGTGATTGGCTATTGTCGGTACACCATGTCGGAATTCGCTTCAAGCATGATCGACCCGTTGTTTTAACGAAAGCTGCAGGAAAATTTTACGATGCAACATTCCTAGCCGCGTTAAATCAAGGATATATGGATGCTAGGTATGTTTGTATATGTCTCGTGAACTTCGTCATCTCCTTGTTCCAACGTACACTTTCTAAAACATCGTTCGTATCTTGTTCATTTTTTACGTTATTCGTCGTCTTAGAGCTTCCAACGGCATAGCCATCAATCTCTCTTCTTCGACATTGCTCCGTTCTTCTGCTCCTGTCTCTTCGTGGCTCTGGTCAGAATGCATTTCAATATTCTGTATGAAACATAGAGGCTGAGCAAGGCAAGGACTGCTAATGTAACCATGACATCGATGAGATTGCGTTGACACCAGGACATGTTCGCTGCCTCGCTCCTGATGTATGGAGAAGCATTTCCCCGACCAACGTATTCTGTCCACCATACTGCTGTTTCTAACGGAGTATTTGGTCGATCCTTGAAAGCTTTCGAAAGCTTCTTGGCATTTTCACGGTACCTGTAACAGAAACGGGCCACCGCGATTAACATCGAGTAGATTAAGGTTTATAACAATTAGTAAATTTAACTTCCGTTGTCACCGACGTATTGTCACGTTGCATCGATCACGCTACTGGCGCAATTGTTCTGCTTTTTATTTTCATTGAACATTCGTTGTTGATTCCTGTTTTATTTTTGTTTGCTTAAACACCGGTTGGAAAAAATTTCTGTCGTTCTTCGGCAAAATGAAATTTCAGCAGCGGCGGAAAAGTATGAAATAACAGAGGCAATAAGTGAATAACACTAACGGAATAGACGAAATAACGTAAATTTTTCAGCCAGAAAGGACAAGATCGTAATAACCCGGTCGCATCAGACTATACAACCAAACGACTTTCCACTTCCTGCGCGTTTACTTGCTCGCGTTTCCATTTACCACGGCACAGCAAGTCACCGGTGACGCAAACGTTCGGTGTTTTTTCTATCCTCAACTTTAACAACCGTGCCCGATACAATAGCCGGCGACTCGATGAATAATTCATGCAATATACCGATCGATCCGCTACTCGATATCGCGGCGAACGGGAAAAGATGCCGCGGGATACTTTATAAATATCTCCGAGAGCTTTTAACGGTGCGCTTATCGTTCACCCGGAAACAACTCCGACCCCAGTATCGATGACAACCCGTTGCAACCGTTTCGACAAAAGCAAAAAGAATCGTCGTTGGTTCGAGTTGAAACGCGTGTCCGTTCGAAACGTGCGCTGTCCGCACTGTCTGCGTGCCTGGAGATACCATACGTGGACCATGTCGGGTTCACCAATCGAGAAACATAGACGCAAAAAAAGAATTAGAGAGAAGAGTAGGAAAAAAGAGAGAAAAAGGTTACAACGATGGAGTAAACGAGGGATGAAGAGGAATAACAGAGGCCAGGGAAACGCTAGTGGATAGACGAAACGGATGAAGAGGAAGAGAGTGAGGGAGCGGGAGAGAGAGAGAGAGAGGGAGAGGGAGAGAGTGGGTTGCGCGCTCGTAACCAGCCCTGACGACCCGGAGCACACAATTTACCAATCGGTACTCTCCATTATTCGTGTTTACAGCTGCAGGCCGCGAATCAACCTGGTCCCCCTGTTATTTGCCTCGGTCAAATTCAGTCGCAGCCCTGCGGTGGTTTTGAATTAACCATCAATTTTAAGCGCGTTCGACGTCCCTTCCGTCAACGCAGCGCACAATCCATCCACCAGCGGGGACAGGCCACGATGTTTCGCAGGGTGTCGGACAGACGTTGCGCGAAGGGAATTAATTTATTGCCGGCAGAAAGCGGAGAGGACGGGATAGAGGGAGGATTTTCATGCGGGGGAAAGCGGGATGAATGGAAACTAAAGCAAAGTTGGAAAAAGAACGCAAACCTGAAAACGCGCTCGCTATAAGCCGACTAATTCGACAGAGACACGGTAATCGAAGATCGATGATTCGCTGTCGGCTCAGTGTCACTTTCGAGCTGAATATAATGCAACGTAATACCATCAGGAGTCGTTGAAGATGTATCGCGTGCGATATTTCGAAAAATCGAGTCTGATTATAATCCTCGGGATATCACCATTTTCGCTTCATCCAGGGGAAAAAGTTGTGCGATATTGTAGAAATTTTTATTATATTATCCCGCGAGACGTGAAAAGGTAAGAATATGAAAGTAGTTAATTCGATGTTTTATTTATCGGTGTGTTTCGAACAAGTTTTAGAACTAAAGGAAACTACGAACAAGCAGAGCTACACGAAGAAAATATTTAGAGATTCGTTTCTATGCATTAACACTATGTGGAAATATTTCCCAAGGGTGTAGTTATGAAATTACACGAGATAGTCTCTCAGACTTTTGCGCAATTGATATATATTCTCCCTGAATAAACTACGCGGACACCCTCATACCCATTTTTCATCCCTTAATCTCAATCACTCGGCCCTTCCACGTATCTCGCAATAAACAATCTTGCCAAAGTCTCATTCGGATGATAAAGACCCATATAACGAACAAACTAAATTTCTCTTTTATTTAACCTATATGTAATTGATCGTGATACGCTCCAGTGATTCTCCGCGCATAGAGATCGGGGGGACAGTTCGAAAGAGGATGGGTTTCGCGTTATCGGAAAACGAGCGAATTTATTTAGCCGGGAAAGTCCGAAGGCAGATGTCGCGAAAGTTACGCGAGAAACCATTTCTATCCCCATTTCTGAGGCCGACTCGTATCTCCGGGGGATCATAATTCCCGCGATATCTCGGGGATCGTTGTCGCTCCGGCTGGAGCGGCCCCGACACGTTACGAACTTACTTTCCGACTTGTAACGTTATCGCAGGGACTCGGGGAGGCCTGTGCTCGGCTCCCTCGATGCGACTTCGCCGTTCCGAAACTCGTGCACCCGCAACTCATCCACACGGACCACCCTGCGCGGGCAGAATTACTCGGTTTGGGGATTCTAATTGCAAACGGAGAAAGAAAGATGTTCCTCCATGTTCTACTACTGTGTTCCACCGCCGTAGAAACGGCTGCTGCAGCCGTTGTCCTACCTACGGCTGAATTACTTTGTTCCACCCTATTCGTGCCAGTATTTCGTGGAATACGTGAAATTTGCCCTCTTGCTCGGCATAACGTTCAAGCGTTTACAAGTATCGGTAAATGCGATTGTTTCTCACGAATACGCGTTGATTTCTCTACCTCTACGACGAAATAAAGTAACATCGAGTAACATGATACCACGTTCGTAGCTTGAAATAGCACGGGCTCAGAATTAAGGGATGATATTTCGAGAACACGAGTTAACCAAGTAGAAGAAAAAAAAAGGGAGGGAAAAGATAAAATTGTCTACGACCAGGAGCGAGCGTTGCACTCTAATTAACCATGTATAAACCATGGAAGGAGGTAGACGAATGCAAAGCAAAAAAGGGCCAGTTTATTTCGCCCAGGCTTTACTAACGTATTCGTGATGTGACTAGGTGTGAAAACAGGCTAAAACAGAGGTTGCTCGAGCGTGGCGGAAAAATTCGCTGTTGGCGAGAAACACGGAAGGTGCAGAGGCACGTAATAAATGAGACTTCCGGTTATCGGGATCTCACTAGGGTCCTTTGTCCGTTGCAAGTTCTCTGGGAACGAGTTACGAATAAACCACAGCCACCAACGTAGCGTCCAGCTTCGCTGAATATGCAATCGCATACGCGCAATTAAAATATTCGTCGACGCGACCGTCGATCTCGTGCAATTTTCTCGCCAGGGAGGAAAACTAATTTTCCCTGTTAAATTTTTTTAAAGTTTGTTCCCGTTGAGTCGATAATTTACTGCGTTGCAGTTTAACGATACAAACTATAACTAGAGCCGAAACTAGATCGAAAAGTTGGCCTGTTTTTGTTCGATAATAAAATACTAAAAGTACCTAATCGTCAATCTCTTGACATTCTCTACGCACGTTTTGCTATATCTGTCCTGGTGTAATTCTACTGCATCGTCATCGAGCGAAATGATCTACGAAAATTCCAGTAGCTCCCTCGTTTCTACATTGACGCGTTATATCAGACGCCCCCGTGAAATTCGTGGCGGACGGCAGCAAGTCCGCGCGAAAAGTAATTTTCGTCCCCTCGTAATTCCTTCGAAGTTACTTTACGATTCCAGGGTTCGTTGTCGCACATCGCCACTCTACTACGACCACTACGTCGCCACCACTATTCTGCCACTACCACTAGCTTCCTCGACACCTTACCAACTTACTTTCCGACTTGTAACGTTATCGCGGCGAACCGAGAAGCCTGCTCTCCTTCTCGAGCGGCCAATTAGCCGGCGTAACCGAACTCGCGCACGTACACCTATCTTCCGGCGCATTATTCAGGATTCTCGCGGTGCCGTCTTCTAAATTATAAAGCATAAATTTCGGATTGCGTTACAAATCGCGACGCAATTACACCGTGAAATTTCTGCACGGTCATTAAGTTACCACGCGGCTACACGGCACGGATCAACGACGCCGCGTCATTTTGTCGATTTCGTGCTGTCAATGCCGTGCGAATTTCTTTATATTTCTAATGGCGAGAGATCCAACCGTGCGCATATTGCGGAAATTTTTACTGTGGTTTAATGCGCGCATAAAGATTTATTTCTTTTTTTGCAAATCTTTCGTAATTTCTTTGTTGCACACTTTAGCCGTTAGCGGTCCTAGCGTTCTTTTAACGTGAATCACCTGCATCGTCTTTACAAAATCGCTACAAAACGCGATACTACGTTGGAAGAGTCGTCCATAATCGAATTACCGCATTAACAGTAAACCAAAGGGAAAATCGCCCCAGACGATCGCGAAGCACGAAGGCTAGCTCAAGTTTGGCGAATAATCGTGTTATTTCGTCCGCGAAACGGGATACAGCTGTAACGTGGACCGCGAAACGCTTAACAAACAACCGCGGGAATGATTCGACGCGCATGGCCTACGGCACCCCAACTAATTGGGCCAGAAACAGAAAAGTCCGACACTGGGTATGTTTCATTCGCACCTGACACAAACAACGTTTAAATCCTCAATTACAGTCGCTGGCGCGTTACGCGGACAGGATATCCGTTTGACATACGTGGCCGTTAATTTTCGAACGCGCGGTTTCTGCGAATGAGCACAGCAGCGGGACACGAATAAATCACCTACTGGATCACTCTCGTAAAAATGGCCTTTTCTTACCTTGTTTACGATCTAATCGCATTAAATGATGGAACTACAAATTGTAGGATGACGTTACCTAATATAGAACAGCACTTAACACGGGGCATTGCAATATCTCGGCAAGTAACAACAAACTCAATCGGCGACAGTGTAAAATATTTCGTTAAAAGCAAAAATCAAACACAGGTTCGCATTCGAGTTTCGCTTGGAAACCTGTGATTGAACGCGGTTGATCATCGTGTTTGAAAACGTACAAGCGTTATCGAGAGGCGAGTTAAATAGTGATATTTTTTAGTAGAAGCAAGTTAAAAAATATTACTTTTGC